CGGCCCCGGACACACCCTCAGTTATTCTCCATCTCAGGGCCCGTTGTCTTTGCTGTCCTAGCCGCCTGACCCCCTTCCGGGCGGCGGCGGGCCCTCTCGGCCGACCTCCCACCTCCTACTGGCCGTTCCCTCCTGCCGTCGTCTCCACCCCGCACAGTGAGGGCCCTTGTACAAAGGAGACCATCGCCCCGCATCTGAACGCCCTGCGGGCCCCTGCTGCTCTCAGTGCAGAGGCCAAACTCCCTGCACCACGGTGTCCCCGCTCTCGTGGTCTGCAAAGGTCCCCTTTCCACATTCCCGTCCCATCTCTCCCCAGTACACACAGTCCGAATTTTCCAGGCATACTAAAATACTTGCATTTTCCCCATCATACTATTTTCTCTCCCACGTTGCCCTTAGAGCTCGGAAAATATGCCTTCCCCTTCCTCCTTCCATCCCACGGCCCTAGCCTGAGCGAGTAACTACCACTTTCCTGGGGGATTAAAGCTCAGCCATCACCACCTCCTCTGAGAACTCTTCAAAAAGCCCCACTTCGAGGCTGGGGTAGCCTCCCTGTTTCGATTTATTGCAGCTCAGTATTGGGGTCGCACCTCCCCCCCCTACAGGCTGTTCGCGCTATCTCGCTGCCTCTCACCTCGCCTAGCAAAGGGCACAGGCACTCACTTTCGTAGACGATCATCGAAGGGACGGACCCAAAGCGCGCCTGGCCGGGGAGACTGCGCAGACACGACGCCAACACGAGGTGGCGCTGCGGCCACGTGCACGGGGAGGGCAACCTCTCCCGGGCAGTCACCCGCCTGGCTGGCTGGGCTCTGTTGTGACCACGCGGACTCCTGGATGCTCAGACAGGGTCTTCTGGAGTCAGGCGCGCTCTGTGCAATGCTGTGATCTTGGTGGCACATGTTTGGGGACAGGCTCTTGCCCTGGGGCCTGGGGCCTGGTGCCTTCGGGCAAACTTCAGAAACTCTGACTATCGCCCTTCTTTACCAAGACTCTACCTAAGTCACATGACTCCTTCAAAAGTCTGAGAGGCTTACCCATCCGGGACTTCAGTGCTCAAATTTAAGGTTGTAAACCACTCATGGGCTTGCTTCTCGGAGCAATCTCTCCATTCGGGCACTAGTGCCTGAAAATAGCACGCAATCAATATTACCGTATTTTGCTGCATCATGGGCTCCCATGTATAATGCGTACCCACATTTTTGGGCCAAACTTTCTGGGGGGAAAAAATCTTTTGTTTTAATTTTTTAATTAATTAATTCATTTATTTATATTTAGAAACAAAACCAATGATCATATTCCAGGGTATTATTTTGCATATAGAGATCGTATTGCTTTCTAGAGTTACACTTGTAATGCATAAGCACAAATAAAAGAACTAAAAATCATTTTTATAGATACAGAATTAGTACTACCCATGTATAATGTGCATCCTTATTTTTCCCTCAAAAACTTGGGCAAAAAAGCGCTCAGTATACATGGCAAAATACGTAGCTATTTGTTAATGAGCTGGGTCACTAAAGACTAAAAAGGAGAAAAACCGTATTTTCACTCAGGCATGGAATGTAAAACAAAAGATAACACACTAACTAACAAAGCAAACAAAAATAAACTTATAGAGACAACAGAATGGTGGCCCCCAGAGAGAAAGGGGGTGGGGTAGGGCAAAATGGGTGAAAGGGGTCAAATACAGGGTAAGCAAAGGAAACTAGACTTCGGGTGGGGAGCATGCAATAGAGTACACAAGTGCCTAATTATAATGGTGTATACCTGACATTTGTATAAGGTTAGTAACCAATGTTACCCCAAAAGATTTAACTTGAACAAGGGCAGAAGAGAAGGTAACACTTCTTCTGAATAAAGCAAATTAGATTCCAGAGGTAACCTTTTGCATTGTTGCTGGGTAGAGTTGGCTGCAAGATTGTCCCAACCTGACTCTTGCCCTCCTAGGAATAGGCACCATCAGATTGTGCTTTGAAATTCTTTTGCATCATTTCATGAAGGTGGTGGAGTTGAAAGAGACTTGGTTGAGAATCAGAAGCCCTTTGCTGGGTGTTGGCCTGGACTTTCGGGCAAGTTGCTTCACTAGCCCGAGCCATGGTCCCGACGTCAGCCAGAGGGAGAGGTGGCGCTGGGTGGTCGTTCAGGGTCCTGCAGTCCTAACGGTGCGTGAATTACTGTGGCTCATACTAACTGTGGGACCTGGGCCTGTTGCCTGGTTTCTCTGCAACCCAATTTTTTAAATCTGTGGAATAGAAATCATGGTCACAACTAATTCATAGGTTTTCTTTTTTAATTGAGATAAAAGTCACGTAACATAAAATAGCAATTTAAAAATGCATAGTACATTCACAATGTTATGCAATTATTAAGTTCCAAAACATTTTCATGTCCTCCAAAAGAAACCCCACACCCGTGAAGCAGCCACGCCCCATTGCCCCCTCCCCGTAGGCCTGGGCAACAACCACGCTGTGTTCTGTCGCTACGAATTTGCCTATTCTGGATATTTCATATACATGCAACCATACAATAGCTACAATGTCTAGCTTCTTTCACTTAGCATAAGGTTTTGGGGGTTCATCCGCGTTGTGGTGTGTGTCAGAGTTTCATTCTTTACCGGGGTTGAATAGCATTCTGTTGCAGGGATGCACCACACTCTGTTTGTCCTTTCTTCCATGGATGGGCATTTGGGTTGTTTCCCCGCTTTGGCTATTATGAGTCGTGCTGTCATGGACGTGGGAGTCCATGTATTTGTTTTGAATCCCTGTTTCCAACTCAGCTCCTAGGGCTTTTGTGAGGACTGGATACGTGCCTTACCATGTGGTGGGAGTGGAACACACACTGGCAATCGAGGTTTACTATTGTCCCAGGAGTGTGCAAAGAGGCCCACAGGGTCCTTCCTCTTGCCTCCTCTCTCAGGTCTGGGGGCCAGATCTCCCCCACCCTGTGGGCTGTCAATCCCCGTCTCTTTCTGTTCCCCACCTGCCGCCATGGCTGGCGTGGAAAACCAGACCCAGTAGGGTAGGGCAGAAAAGGCAGGCGAGAGGTAGGGGAAGTGAGCACATGCAGGTGACCAGCTGGGGACAACCATTGGACAAGTAGCACTCAGCAAGGGGAAGGGATGGGAAGACAAAGGGCCCAGGAAGGAGCAGACTCTCAGGTGCATTTAGAGAACGAGGAGGATGTGGGGGGAGGGGGCAGGGCTGGGCTGGAGTCGGGCTGGTGCCACAGCAGAATGTGGTTGGGGACGGGAAGTGTCACAGGCCAGGACAAGTAGGGGAGCAGGAGAGGGCTGGACGGGTGAATTGGAGGTGGTGTAGTGAACGCAGGATTCTGGTGGCAGCTGAGGGATTTTGTGGGGTTGGCATTAGGGCTGGAAGCTGGGGACAAGCTCTGGGAATTGTCAGCTTGAGATCAGGTTTTCAGAAAGTTGATGCTGCCAGGAAGGCACCCGACCTGGGCCTCAGGGGTCCCTGCTGGGTACTGGAATGTGCTCTCTGTCTCTGCCTGGCGGCAGGGGGAGGTGCTCTCTTGGAGCCAGGTGTGTGGCCACCTGGCATTCTGGGGAGCCTCTGCTTGCGGCACTGGCGGTAGGGAGGAAGGCCCGTCAGCTCTAGGCCCAGGGCAGAGGCCTGGCATTCCAGAGAGCTGAGGGCAATTACTGCCATCTCCACCTAGGGGACGGGAATCAGAGAAAAAGGGCCAGAGGGAGGGAACGGGCCGTTGGTTTTTGGGAGGTGCTGTAGGAAATGTGGCAGTTAAGCATGTGCATCCCTGAATTACTTATTCTGGTCTGTTTTGTGTCTAAGATTCCTCTCTAAGGTTACATAAGGAGAACTTTGTGGGGAGACCTTATGGGTTGATTGGGAGGGGAGCAGCCTTAGAGGGTGCAAGTCTGTATCCCATTCCAAGGTGGCTCTCAGGGGAAGTGCCAGCATTTGGCCAGCAGGGGGAGAGCTTGAGTCAAAGGGTGGATCCATTCTAACACCATTTTGCTGCACGTTAAATGCCGTTCTTTGTATAGCCATCAAGCTGTCTTGCTCTTTTCATTCACAACTCACATGAAAGAGTAATATATAGAATGTTCCTTTTACTGGGGGAGCAGGCCCATATGAAGATTAGTGATTTGGGGGGCCGGAGTGAAACTTAAAGATCACCTAATCGTGTCCTTCTATTTAACAGGGGAGTAGGAACTGGAGGGCCCGAGGTTCGTGACTGGGAGCCTTTTGATGAGTCAGGACTAGAATCGGGTCTCCAGGTTCCCAGTCCCGTGTCCCCACTGTTGTGCAGGTTCTCGGAACGCAGGGGCCCTGGCGGGAGGTGGTTCGCTGCTCACGGACCTCCCGAAAGTCAGTGCTTGACCATGCCTACCCTCTCTCCTGTTTCTGAATATTTAAAACACACAAGCCAAACTGTAGGAAAAAAGATAAATCTGTTTGTCAGGAAAGAGGGAGTGTGTATTTACCTTTTTTTCTGTCCTGAGAACCCAGTTCAGTGTTCAATGGACATTAACCTGTTCTCCAAGGAAAGAACACTGGTAGGACTCATCGAGGCCCAAGTGTTGAGAATCTCAGTGAAGACAGAAGCAACAAAAATTAATGATTGGACCAAAAGGGAGACTATTAAACGTGGAGTCAGAGGGAAAAAAGGAAATTCTAAATAAAAGAATAAAGCCTAGAAATTTGGCTCAAAAAGCGTTCAGAGGCATGGGGCCGCTTTATGATGCATGCCAGCTGAGGACCGGCGGCCTGTGTGACGCTGTTGTCCGGGCTGGAGAACTCAGATGTTCTAGGGACTAGGGAGTTAGGTCCTAGCTACGGCGGCACACAGCTGGTGGACCTGAACGCGAGGAGTGCCGGGGGTTTGCGGCTGCCCTCGGGAAGCGATGATAGGGTGTGCCATGAATGTCCTTCTTGTCGAGGAGGCTGCCGCCCCGCTGGCCCGCCAGAGGCAGGCGACGAGGCCTGCACTCTCCTAACAGGCTGTGGGTTTCTTCTCAGATGGCGGGGACAGCGCGCCATGACCGAGAGATGGCGATCCAGGCCAAAAAAAAGCTCACCACGGCCACCGACCCCATCGAAAGACTGCGGCTGCAGTGCCTGGCCAGGGGCTCTGCGGGCATCAAAGGACTTGGCAGGTAGGACGCGGGCTCCGGGGTGGCAGGAGCGTGGAGGAGAGAGGCAGGGCGCAGCCTGGTGGGGCTGATACTAGTGTGACCTCCTGGGCTCTCAGTGCCTCAGTGGTCAGGACAGGGTTTGGAAGAATTGTTCTCTGAGGTCTCTTGTGACCATTTTTGGTTCTTTGTCCCAGATTTGAAAGGGGCCATGTCTGCTACAAGACAGTGCAGCTGCTGGGAGACTTGAGGTGAAGGGACTAGAGACACTGGGCAGGACAAGGAGAGACGTTCCCTGAAGCTGTGGCAGTAGGGGCTCGGAGAGGGGAGGAAGGGACAGTGATTTAGACACGACTGCAGAATTTGCAGTTTCGCTCTCAGGCAGTCATGTGTTCCCGCCTTCCGGGGGGCGCTGGAATTGCCTGCCGGATATTGAACGGCTCCCGGCCCGTGGGGTCCCCCAGCTCTGCAGGTGCTGGGCTCTGCCCCCTGGCAGGGTGGGTAGCCCTCAGGACGGAGAAGCCCGAGGGCAGAGACGCTGTAGGCCTCTCTGACTGCGTGCCGCCCACGGGGACGTGTGGGTGAGTGGGCCTCTCCCCGGCACGTGAGGAGTTTAGACAAGGAGGCCGAGGGTCACAGAAACAGGACTCTCTGCAGTGTGAGAGGGCGCAGGTCAGAAGGGTACAGGGGGCGGCGGCAGGGAAGCCCAGCCTTACATCTGGAGGCTGTGGAAGGCTCCCCTTCCAGCTAGGCACGTACTGAGCATCGGGGATGTCATTGCCAACAGTCCTGAATCCTCCGACTAACCCCAGCCCTGCTGGAGCCCAGGCTGTGGGCGTGCAGCCCTGGGGCCAGGCTGTCACCGTGCAGCGGGCAGACCAGCCCTCTTCCCTTCCATGTCGTATCACTGCAACCCTCACCTCTTTCATCCTGTGTTCGCATCACTGTGTGTGGTGCAGATCCCGCGGGAACACCCCTGGGCCGTTCGGTCCCATCCCTCCTGCAGCCGACCCCATCTCCCCCATCGCCCCTTGCAGCCGCTTCCCCACGAACTAGCCTCTTGTGAGCAGACACTGTCTCACTCTTGGCCTTTTGCTGGAATGTGGCCTCTGTCTCCTCCCCTTAACTGGTCTTACCCTTTCTCGAATCTTTTCCCAACTCAGGTAGAGGTTCCTTCCTCCTTTTTGCCCCCTCATGATTAGGCTGCAGTTATGTTTTTTGGAGACCACAGGAGGGAAGTACCACTTTCATAGCATCATATCTAAGAGGCATACTGTCAGCATGATTTCTCACTATTGATGTTGACCTTGATCACATGCCTGAGACAGGGTTTTGTCTGGCTTCCAATGTGAAGTTACTCACCCCCTCTTTTTGCAAAGAAGTCTCTATGCAAAGCCACTAAAATGCAGGGAGTTAGGAATATGCTTTCCCTCCTTGAGGGCATAGTATGAACATAATATATCTGGAATTCTTCTATAAGAGAAATCTGTCTCACTTATTGTCAAGATGGCGGCATAGGCAGACGACGCTCGCCACCTCCCACAACCACATCAAAATTACAACTAAAATATAGAACAGCTGCCACTCAGAGCTGTCAGAAATCAAGTTGAATGGAAGTCTGACAACTATAGAATTAAAGAAACCACATCCATCCAGACAGGTAGGAGGGATGCAGACACTGAACAGGCTGTGTGGCGGATAAAAATTTGGGAGGGATATCTTGGGAGTGAGGAGTCCCAGACCCACATGAGGCCCCCCAGCCCAGGGTTCCAATGCCAGGAAGATAAGTCCCCATAACTTCTGGATGCAAAAACCAGCAAGGATTGAGTCAGTGGAAGAAACTTCTGGAGCCCCAAGCAATTTCCTTTTAAAGAACATATACAAGGACTCACCTACTCAGACTCATTCCCTCTGAGCTCCAGCACTGGGGTAGCAGCTTGAAAGTCAGCAGTGGTATAAAAGGAGGAACTGAAGTGTCTGACATCAAGGCGAGCAGAAGCCATTGTTTCTTTTCTAAATCCTCCCCCACAGAGTCAGCAAGCTGTTGCCATGTGTGAGACTCCACCAACCTGGCTAACACTGTTTGACTCCCCCTAGGAGGTCCTCAGAGACTCTTCTCCACCCAGCTTATGGCTCCACCCAAACAGCTTTTCCATATGAATGGCTGGTCTTGCTCATGCTTCACAACTACCTAAATCCTCTCAAATAAGCAACAGTTGGCATCAATGAACTCTAGGCCTGGCACTAGCATCAGCCCACCTAGATTCACAGCTTGGCTTTGCCTGGAAATCTCCAAGCCCAGCACAACTAGCAGCCATCTCAGATTGCTTTACAGCTCAGGCAGAGTGGCCCCGGACAAAACACAGGCAGGGGCTGACTTTGCCCTGCACTAGCAGGGATACCCCAGGGCCAGCTCACCCAGTGGACAGCTACAGACCACACTGGAGCACCACCACCTTCTACGTGCACAGCTGATCCTCCACAGATAGAGGAGGTTGGTGGTCAGTGGTCACAGCCAATCCTTGCACTGACTGGCCTGGGTGAATCTCTGTCTGGACTTGCCAAAAGCAACCAAGGCTCAACTACAAGAAGAGGGTGTACTCAGCCCACACAAAGGGTGCACCTCGAATACCCAGTTTGAGTGATAGGGGAGGCTGTGCCACTAGACCCTACAGGACACCTACATTATACCACAAAACCAAGATGCAGAGTCAAAGCAGCGCTACCTAATACATAGAAACAAACACAGAGAGGCTGCCAAAATGAGGAGAAAAAGAAACGTGGCCCAAATAAAAGAAAAGATCAAAACTCCAGAAAAAGAGCTCAACAAAATGGAGATAAGCAATCTATCAGATGCAGAGTTCAAAATACTGGTTATAAGGATGCTCAAAAAACTTAACAAGGACTTCAACAGCATAAAAAAATCCAGTGAGAAATGAAGGATGTACTAATTCAAATAAAGAACAATTTATAGGGAAACAACAGTAGAGTGGATGAGGCCAAGAATGAATTCAATTATTTGGAACATAAGGAAGGAAAAAAAAAACAAAACAACAAACCAATACGAACAACAAGAAGGAAAAAAATCCAAAAGAATGAGGGTAGTGTAAGCAGCTTCTGTGACAACTTCAAGAGGTCCAACATTTGCATCACAGAGGTGCCAGAAGGAGAAGAGAAAGAGTAAGAAATTGGCAGTCTATCTGAAAAAATAATGAAAGAGAACTTCCCTAATTTGGCAAGGAAATAAACATTCAAATCCAGGAAGCAGAGTCCCAAACAAGATGGATGCAAAGAGGCCCACTCTAAAACACATCATAATTAAAACATCAAAGGTTAAAGATAAAGAGAGTGTCTTCAAAGCAGAAAGAGAGAAGCAGCCATTTGCCTACAGGGAAGTTCCCATAAGACTGTCAGCTGATTTCTCAAAAGGAAAAAAAAAACCAACTTTGTGGGCTAGAAAAGATTGTCAAGAAATATTTACAGTCATGAAAAGCAGGGACCTACAGCCAAGAATACTCTACCCAGCAAAACCATCATTTAGAATCAAAGGGCAGATAAGCAGCTTCCCAGACAAGAAAAAACTAAAGTTCATTATCATCAAACCATTATTATATGAAATGTTAGAGCAACCAATTTTAGAAAAAGATCAAAACTATGAACTATAAAATGGCAAAAAATATGTATCTATCAACAATTGAATCTGAAAACCAAACTAAGCAAACAAGAACAGAGACAGAATCATGGATATGGAGAGCATTTTGATGGTTGCCAGATGGGAGGGGTGTATAGGATACTGTGTGAAGAAGTGAGGGGATTAAGAAGTTACAGAATAGCCATGGGGATGTAAAGTATGGTATAGGAAACGGAGCAGCCAAAGAACTTATACGCATGACCCATGGACATGAACAATGGTGGGGGGAGTGCCTGAGGGAGTAGGGGGTGCTGGGTAGAGGGGGCCATCGGGGAAAAATCAGGACAACTGTAATAACATAATCAATAAAATATAATTAAAAAATAGAGAAAAAAAGAGAAATCTATCTCTTCTCCCCCATTTATTTATTTAATCATTTATTTAAACCAATATGGGGCATGGGTATTTTTACTTTATACTTCAGGCTATAATCCAACTCTGCTTTATTCTGTTGCTCAAGTCATCCCGGTTTTGGCCTTGGGAGTTCATCCGCTTGGCCCCTGTGTCCTGCTGATGTATCCCCATCAATGCAAGGGTTTGCTTGCTTGCTGGTTTGTTTTGAGCATTTTCTTTCTGGGACAAGATGCTCAGAGTTTACCCCACATATTTTCTGCCCCAACCTTAGAGTCAGCAATTTCTCCAAGAAGCCTAGTTCCTCTTATTGGAGAACTGTATTAGAAACCAAGATCTAGCTGCTAGATGTGTTTGCTGTCACTGGGGTGTTGCTTCTAGGTCCTCTCAACCTGGAGATGTATACATATACCGACAGAGGTTTTTATATGTAATCATCGGTGTTTATATTAGGCTGAACTTGAGTTCATACTGATGTCTCCGACTCTAATCCATTACCACACGCTCTAGCCTCCTCCCCAGGTTATCTGTTAGTCCCCCCCATTCCAACAGCGAGAAGCCTGGCTCCCACCTGCTGCTCTCCATTTACTTAACTGATCAATTCCAATATAGCTGAATAGCAATATCAGAATAGTTAACGCATCTCCATGGGAAATACCTTTGCCACCTAGCGTGCAGTGCTGGTGTGCAGCTCCTTTGGCCTTCAGTTTTACTGATTTGACTCATTTCCTAAGTCACTTGTCAGTACCGTCACCCCCCATCCCCTTTTAGTGAGGCTGTTTTAAGCTCCTGTAGTACAGTTAGATTCACTTGTCACAGTCTGCGTTCCTTCCTGGGATCTCCGGACCTTCTAAATAATTTTAAAAAAATTGTTGACGTTAATGATTAGTCTTTGGGCTGTAAATTTTTTTTTGGCTTTAGCAAATGCCTAATGTCCTGTACCCACTGCTATAGTATCGTGCAGAGTAGTTTCATCGCCCTAGAATCCCCCCCAGGCCTCACCTATTCTCTCGCCTCCCCGTCCCATCTTTTTGCTGTTTTTATAGCGTTGCCAAAATGTTTTTTAGTTGGGATTACACAGTGCATGTTTTTTAAAGGTTCATTTTCTTTTATGACATGCTGGAAAGAGGGTCTCCAATTTCAGGGGGAAGGTTCAGAGAACAATCTAAGACTTTTGTATTTTACTTTGAAAAATGCTGAGAGTGGTTTGGTTTTTAAATCTTTATGCTTAACCTCGTTCTTTGTGGGCTTCTTCTTCTTTTGTGTGTGTGTTGTGTTTTCTTCAGAGTGTTTCGAATCATGGATGACAATAACAACCGAAGTCTTGATTTCAAAGAATTCGTGAAAGGGTTAAATGATTATGCCGTGGTCATGGAAAAGGAAGAGGCAGAAGAGCTTTTCCGGAGGTTTGATAAAGATGGAAATGGAACAATTGACTTCAATGAATTTCTTCTCACTTTAAGGGTAAGGGGCTCTGTAAATCAGCATGTCTGCTGAGTTTATCTTTCACGTGGTTTGGACTGGCTCTCTGTTAGTGCCCTGTGAACATGATGGGCAGGAGTTGGAGCACAGATGTCGTCACCATAGGGACTAGGGGGCCACCGTGGTGCATGTCACTAATGGTGCACAAACCATTGCACATCATTGAGGAGAATGAGATGTTTTATCACGTATCATACAAAATGGCTCATTTGGTTGCATGTGTCTTTGTGGATTTTTTTCCACCTCTTTTTATAGCCTCCAATGTCCAGAGCCAGAAAAGAGGTAATTATGCAAGCTTTCAGAAAGTTAGACAAGACTGGAGATGGTGTCATCACAATTGAAGACCTCCGCGAGGTGTACAACGCAAAGCACCATCCCAAGTACCAGAACGGAGAATGGACTGAGGAGCAAGTGTTCAGGAAATTTCTGGATAACTTTGACTCGCCCTATGACAAAGATGGACTGGTAAGTAAAAGAGGCTAATCCAAGGGAAATTTCTTCTATCCAATTTGTAACTGCAGAGAAATAGGAAGTAGGTTCAAAGCCTTAAAAATACTTATATTACAGTTGTTACCTACAGAAGAGAAGAAAACATTTCCTTAGTGACTACCTAAAAAGTTGAGAAATAAAGTAAAAAAATGTGTGTGTGTGTGTGTGTGTGTGCACACAGATGTATCAGTAGGGGATCCATGAAGCGCTAAATACCCACACCTGGAGAATGTGATATTTTGATTAAACATTCCATTTCACGGTAACCATATTTACCATACACAGCTAGCCATTTTCCAACAAATTAGGCTATAATAAAAATATTTAACTTCCAAATGAGACCACAATTCCGATTTTTGGAGCATGATACACAAGGTATTTCAGGGCACTGCTGTGCCTTTTACACACATTCTCATTTGTCGTCACACTTTGCGGAAATGCCATTTAAGGGAAGCTTTCAGTGAAAAGAGTGTCAGATAACAGCATTTACCCTGATTTAATCTTTAGCAGGCTTTGAGATCAACTTCCATGTTAAAAGTACAGTACGCTTAAAGCTGAGTGAAATAAGCCAGTCAGAGAAAGACAAAGCCCATACAACTTCACTTCTACGTGGAATCTAATGAACAAAGTAAACTAATAAACAAAAGAGACAGACACATAGGTAGAGAACGGACTGACAGCTGTCTGAGGGAGGGGAGTTGGGGGGCTGGCTGAGAAATGAACGTCATAGACACTGACAGCAGCGTGGTGATACCAGAGCGAATGAGAGATGGGGGGAGGGAGAAGAGGGTATGGGGGGGAGGTGGTGATGGAAGGAGACTTGACCTTGGGCGATGAACACACAATACATTTTACAGATGATGTGCTGTAGAATTGTACACTGAAACCTACATAATTTTATTAACCTATTTTGCCCCAATCGATTCAATAAAAATGTTTAAGGAGACAAAGAAAGAAAAAGACAAGCCACCTCCCCTTCTCCGTTAACTGCTATCTTCAAGTTACAAATGCGTAGCTCAGTAGGGTTAGGAATCTCCGTAGCTATGTTCAGGCTGAGATGCAAATGTCCTGTGTCTCATCCACAGCTGTACGTGACCTGAGGTGCCTGAAGGCTGCGGTGAGGGGGAGTTCTCTCCTAGGCTAATAGTCAGCAGCAGCCGCCAGCTGGGGAGGCCACCCCGTCCCTGTGGCACACAGGACAGATTAGTGGGACAATGGGTGGGAGGAGGAGATGGCTGCGATAGGAAGAGGAAACAAGTCTTCCCCTTCTGAAGGGAATTACCCTCATCTTTTCCCATAAATCTTCATGGTGCGTCCTATCAACAAAGGGTGAGTGGTATAGGTACTTTTCTTTTATTTCTACTGACATTTTCCTACCAGGGACAGAAAAATACCCTCCGCTTTAGACTGAAGGGGTCACAGAGATAGATTTTTAAAAAGTTGGGGGCGGGGAGGTCCTCAATTCCGTAGAGCAGCAGCCAGATGCCTAGGGACAGCAGTAACAGAACCGTCCAATGTGGCTAGCCTTTGATCTGTGAGATGGCAGTGGAAAAATATCAACTGCCATTTCCCCAGATTAGCCCAGCTCTGCATGGGACCCCAGAGTGCATTCACCTCCCCTCTGCAGGTGGTTCCTCCTCGTTGCCAGGGGAAACCTCAGCTGCCCTTCGCTTTAACCCAAGTAGACATAGCCAGTTGTTGTGATTCAGCTGATTTAAAGTTCCCACTCCTGTCCCTTTTGACATTTATCTTAAAATGCCACAGTAAGCTCATAAACGTCATTGGGGTTTTTAGCAAGTACAGCACTTACTATCACCTGAGTATCACAGACTCCGTACTGATACCCAACTCTGACTTTGTGTGATCATCGTCGGGGTTTGTATCAATAATGCAAATTTCTGTCTGCGTGGCAAAACTACAGAATCTGATTTGGGGGCATGTGGAGCTCAAGGATTTACAGTTTTAATAAGTACCCTAGATGGCTTTTATTCAGGTTCATATTTGAGATTTTGGCCTCTAAAAGATTCAAAAGTGCCTGTATTTAATTATTAAATATAACATACACATTACTCTCATTTAACATAATTAGGGATCTGGGGGCTGTCTACTGAGCACTCACTACCTGTTGGGCATTGTGTTAAGGGCTTCACTGAGATATCTCATTGAAGGGACATAATGAAAATGTTTCTGAAAAGGGATGTGTGACTTAAACTTTTGTACGTTGAGTCATATTTTAAACACGCAAGGACCTGTCAATGTAAAAACCTCCATGTAAATTCTTCTTAAAGAGAATAATTAGCCCTTAATTTATATCTTTCAAATTGAGCTGTTTGAGGTATCAAGACTTCCTGTGGTGAAGCGATAGCTACACTTAAAGCCCGTGCTCTCACTTACGCTTAAAAAATGTAGTCTGTATCCCCAATAAGACAGACTTTAGAATAAGACAAAAAAGCTAGCACATTGCTTAGCCAAGATTGATGTTCAAATGCGTGAACTTTCAACAATTGAGGCTTAGCTGTCACCTAGCCCGAAGCTACTCAGGTTTGCAGCAGCTGCGGAACCGGGCGTCGCGGGTCCTGCCGGCACACGCCGCCCTCGGCGTCCAGAGCAGCCCGGCGCCAGAGCCGCTGGGCGGAGAGGTGACAGCAACCAAGCGGCGGGCGGCCCAGGCCGTCCTCCCCGGCTGGCGGAGGCCTCCGCTGCTCCTTTTTAAAAAATGTCTAGGTTTTGAAATTTACATGTGTGTATGCTGTAATTATAAATATTAAAAAAAATCTCTTAGAATTATGTTAGCCTTTGCCGGAATGTAAGTTTATCCCAATAGAGGAGATTTTTTTGCTCATTAAAAATACTTAAAGCATATTACAGACTGTATGTAGATACCCCAAACTTATTTTATGATTTTTCTAATCAGGCTGGAGCTGAGAAACAGGGGACTGTCTTCTGTGTCATGGCTCAGATATTTCTGTTGTTCTGTGTTGTTCCCTTTGGGGATCTTCTCCTTGGTATAGCATCCACCCTGTCCCTTAAGTGTACCATAGCCAAGAGGCCTGCAAAAGAAGGGATGTCCATTCTCTCATTTTTTTCTAATGCCAAAAAAAATTAATTAATTAGTCATAGCTATTACTACCGAGAAGTAATTGACTAAAATGAGGGCCGCCTAATGGGGCAAATCACAGAATTTGTGGTTCAGGCCATTCCCAGTATAAGCTGAGTCTCAGGAAGCAAGCAGGCACTTCTCTAAGAGTAACTGATGGCCTTTCTGGAAATGATTCTATCTGTTAGCTCTGACTTCTGGCTTTAGGTAGTCTGACTTAGAGGTGGGGTTTAAGGCTGTGTAAGTGCAGAATGCAAAGGACAAGAATAAAAGCATTCAAGAAAGGGGGACATTAATGGTCTTCTAATTTTAATAAAAATCTATGCACATATATTATTTATTTCAACTTCCAAGACCATTTATAAACACAGTGTAACTATTAATTCAGTCCAATGCCTTTCTTCCTACTGCTTTTTATTACTTTGGAGGGTTGGGGCTGGGAGGCGGTACAGAGAGAGAACCGGACCCTCTAACTTTTTTCTCTGTTTACTTATACTTTCAGCAACACGGTAAGTGGGTCAATCAGCTCATACGATTCTTGGAAGAGATAGGTGGGTACTTGGAAGGAGAGGAGTTTGCTGTTATGGGGTACGAAAGGGTTTTGAATTTTTAATGGACTTCGCTATTTGCAACCTTTTTAATCCTTCATGGCACTTAAATTCGAGGCTAATTAGAGAGCCATAAATTTCTCAAACAGCCACCATTACTGAGTCTGTGTCTTCCGTATAAGCAGGGCTTCACCTTGGGCTGAATCGACTGGTTGCAGACACCAAACAGGGGGCCAGTTCTTTTCTCCAAATCAGCCAGTGCGGTCGGAGTGCAGGCTTCGCCTACAACTATTACAAAGAAAGTGATGTAAAATCCTAGCATAGGTAAAAACATCAGTTGATATTCCTAAGGGGCAGTTATAGGCATAGGATAGAGAAACCTCTCCCCCCACCCTGGGCAGTGGGGAGGCATGAAACATGCGGCACTTTTTTTTTTTTTTTTAACTGATTTTGAGCCTTGAACAAGTAACCTGTATCTTTAAAAAACATGACACCATGAAATGGTTAACAAGAAATCTGTTTCTTTACCCACAGGACAGAACTCCATTTTTTGAAAGGTAACACATTCTTCTCCCTGAACCAGGGACATGGGATGTCATTCCTGATATGTCACGGAAAGACAGTATTAACTACGGTTAAAAGCTCTCGATTCTTATTCTGAGTTTCAGCCTCACTTCTCCGCACAGATGGGCTCGGCTTTTACAGAAGGAGAAAATCTGTATCTCCCTTTCCACTTTTGTTACCAGTTTGGAAATTCTCAAGATTTTCTTCCTCTCTTTCCTTGGGCCACCTGTCCCCTCCAAGCTCGCCTTCACTTTTTCCTTCCTTGAGATCTATTCCTCAGCTGCCGTCACTAGAACGCTCCCTTGATGGAAATCTCCTTTTCACTTACAGGTCCTGCAGGTGGGCCCCACTGAACGGTGAGAAGCAAAGTTTCGTGTTTGTTTCTAACCTCTCCCCTGCAGGTGACCCCTGAGGAGTTTATGAACTACTACGCGGGGGTGAGTGCGTCCATCGACACCGATGTATATTTCATCATCATGATGAGGACCGCCTGGAAGCTCTAACTGTAGGAACTGGTAACCAAGGCCTTGGGTACAGCCACGTGGCTCCAAATAGTTAAACATCAGCCCCAAACCCAGATCATATTTGAGTTCATGTGCATCCCAGTGTTTCTTCCATGTCAACAGCATTTTCTAGGGCAGAAATAAAGACACTAAGTGGTTTATTGTGATTCGACTTCTCTGAGCCTGTTTCCTTGGATCTAAAATAGAAATTAATTGAAGTAGATCTGTAAAGGTCTTCGAGCCAGGCTGATTATGCACAGGTGTCTAATACACATGAGATGTCTTCTTTGGCCAGTAATGAAAGTTGGGATATTTTAATTATAATTCCCCTCCATGCAACCACAGTCTTTCTTCACCTCCTTTCAGACGGCTCATTTCTAGGTGGGAGAATTTATCCGTCTTTCTGACTCTAAATATTTAAGTGCTTCAGTGCCAATTTGGAGACTGGAAGGAGACCACGCGTTGGTCTGCACTTCTACCACTAAATCTTGACTTTCTCTGCTCAAAGCTTAGGGAAGCCTCTGTTTTGTAAACAGATTTAAATGGCATTTTAGGATCATTTTAAAGGCTGGGGTGAGACTGGAGGCTGTTTCCTTGAACAGCAGAGCAGAACGGTTCAAAGTGTTTTTGTGGTTGAAGCCTGAGGCTGGGCTGTGCTCCCCGATCTCCCGTGGGACGTCTTGTCCTGTGAGTGGGCGGACCATACCCCTGAGCCTACACCTGGTGGCATGTTCCTTTCTCTGCTCCTTGCAGTTGGCCAGTGGTGTTGAAGCCCTTGCCAGCACAAGGAGGTCAGTGTGACATAGATAGGGTCACAGGCACACTCCAGAGCACACTGTCCATCTTGATACTTCATGGCTGAAAGCATTCTCCTCCCAGCTCTAAGCCTTGGATTCATATTGTTAGTGTGTGAGAATATCCCTAGGGAAGTCTTGTAAGCCAAGGCAGCCCAAGCTACTGGAAAATAGATGTTGAAACTACAGCTCTAGCTCTGGTGCTCTGGGTTGGGGCCAGAGAGAAACGCGCAGGGACTAGCCAGCCCTCTGGCTGAGGTGCTGGACGTAATGACAGCTCTGCCTTGCTCCTCAGGGACAGCCCCTCTTCTTGGCACCTCTGTCCCTGGCTGCTCTCATCCTCTGGTTTGGGGACATGGGTTGGAATAATGGTACCCTTTATGATCTTACATATTTAAGTGACTCTGGATTGAGGATTCGAACATACACCATGTTTTATATGAATTCATTTGTTTCATTCTTTTCATTTCTCAGACTTGGACGTTGAGATCAGGATAGACACTGACCTAAAAATTGTGAGAATAGGTGTTTTCAGCTGTGAACTTTAGCAGTCTTTAAAGACCTTGCTTTGCAGGTTGTCAAGAAGCTGACCTCTCATCCTGGTCACAGGCTGGAAAATAGACATTTTTCCTTGAGGTAAGGGCCTCCCCAAAGAAGCTAGCCATTTTGGAAATTAATTACACAAGTCTGGGTTTCCATTGGATTCTTTATCTAGGCTTCTCTAGAGGTTGGCGGGCCAAAGAGGCCAAGTGTTGTGAGGAAACATATAGACATGATAGAGAAACCCAGAAGCAATCATGAAGAAATGTGTAGAAGACATATCCATGTTTTCTGCAGCTTGCACCTTATACATTGTGGCTGAAGAGAGGACCCCGGTTTCCTGGACATGGCAGATTTCAAGCTGACTGCTCTAGATAGATTTGTGTCTTTGATTCTGGGTATGACTCATGCCTTGCTTAACTGGGGCCATCGAGGTAGCATGTGATTCTGAACAGGGACTAGGCTGCAGCTGTCTTCCCCTGTTGTAGTTGGCTTCCTGTCTAATTGGGGCACAGGGCACAGCTATCAGATTTGAGATAACCCATGCCTCACAGTGTAGTTGGTCACATTCAGTCGCTGCCCTGCTAGCAGAGTTGGTCTGGACCCACAAGCCATGATTCCACTGAGGCCCTCTTGCTTTCCATAAGTGAGATCTCACAACCTCACAGCCTGGTGGGAGGAACAGAGAAAGGTCATTAAAGATCATTTGTTAACACTTTCCTGGATCTATTTTCTGTTTATTTAATGTACACACTTTAAACATTACTCCATTTGCAATTTAAAAAGTAAGCATTTGGGCAGGAGATAAAACACAATAAAAAGTTTGCAAAGCAACCCTTGGGAACACCTTACGTTTTGGGCTTGGACCCCAGATAGGAAGTACACAAACAAACAAAAAAGAAAAAAGAAAAGAGGATGAAATTAGCAGCTTTTTATGAAATAGGAACAATGTTTGCAAAGATTCTGAGAGTCAGGTTTGGTCAGAACAAGCCCCGGTATCAGCATTGAATCTGGGTTCTAACTCCCCCAAAGGGAAACCCAGGCAAGGATGGAGGGGACCGTGACTCAGCTCTGTTCATGTCCTGCTGGGTTCCATTCATTATGCAGATGAGAACTCTAAGAACTGCTGCACTGAATTGTAAACCAAGGGAAGATTCTTCCAGTCAACCTGTGGGGCTGATTTCCACAGACATCCAAACTTTGATAGGATTTGCTTCCAGAGCCAGATGGCACTTTGGAGGCTGATGCGTGGCTCTTTGTGGTCGGATGGCAGGTGTGGGGGCATGTTGCACACCCTAATAGCAGCTTTGAAGGCCGGGCAGCCTCCTCCAAGCAGGCTGCAGATTGACTTTGCGCACATCATGGTTTTTGGTTGAAAATACATCCCATCGATAAGCATTTATTGAGCCACTGCCATGTGGCATGTTCTAGTCTAGACTATGAGGGTAGAGCAATGAGCTAGAATAAATGCAAATGAAACCACTGGCTTTCAAACCAAACTAACAGCCCGCGGTTGTTAAGCAATCAGGGAGGCAGGAAAGCATAGGTACTTCACCTCCCCTCTCTGAGTCTCATCCAGCTTCCGGAGCCAGGACGGCGGTGGGGGGCCTTTCATAACGCAGAGTGTTGGGGAACTATGTTTTGTTGAATGTAGACAATCTATCAAGACAAGGCAAGGAGTGTCCCCCTCTTTTCTTGGAGGTAGATAATTGTCCCTTCTTTTGGCCAATGCAGATGCTTCACTGAGCCACAAGGGTACAAGTGGTAATGATTCAGCCCTCATCAGGCCTCGCAGGGGTGCCTTCTGTTCCACCGATTAATCCAGTGGAGAGGTTAAATTAAGCAATGTATCCTTGGATGGTGTGTGGGTGCCTTCTACTCCTCCTCCATGAAATTCTGCTTACACCCTCTGAGCAGTACACCTTTTTGGAGTGATACTTACTTCTTTTGGGCATAGAATGAAAAACCTCACAAATTCCAGTTTTTGAGATTAGTCAACAAACTTGCTTTTCTGGAAACTGTAAGCTGTTCTTTAAAATAAAGACCTTGTTGAAAGTAGCAACGGTATTTCAAATTTTAGAAATGTTTATGATTCAAGGAAAAGCCGAAGTTCTAAAGATCTAACAGATTGTCATATAATGTTATTTGCACGTAATTGATCCTGTTGGAAGCCAATGCTTCTAAGCACAGTTTTCTTCTCGGAGTTGCTTGTGTGAAAACTGCTTGACATTGGTGGAGATAGCTAGCTCTTTTATTGGAATAAAAAAATACTCCGCTAAGCAAATCCCCTAAAATTATGTTCTAAAACAGACGCCAGGAGTGATCTGTTGAAAGAAACCTAAACAAGTGATTGATGGGCGTTCTGAGACCATCGCTGTGTGAGAAGCGCCCTCTCTGTCCTCTCCGAGGTGTGGTGAGGGAGTTGTGGTAAAACAGTTCTTCCTCTCTGAGAAGAGCACGGCTTCTTGTCTCATCCTCACACCTGCTTTGCCAACGCCAGGGTTATCCCTCAGCAAAACAGGGTGGAAGCTGCTTTGCAGGTCTGAGACGCACTGAAAACACAAGCAGCTGACCAGCAGCTAGGGTTTTACTACAGGATCTTGCAACTACAGAAAGGCACATCGCATCAGGGAAAGAAAATCGCAGCATGTAATAGCCTGCTTCTTTTCCTCTAGATGCTTCTCCCTATGCATCATACGTGGACATTATTTACTTATCACTTCCCTGGAGTGTTATACAAATCTTTATAGCAATGTCTGTTTCACCGGAGGGCTTGGGAGCGCTGTGGGTTTCCAGCTGCTACTCTTGCTTCCAACACCGACCAGTGGCAAGCAGGACCAGGGGCACAGCCAGCTTTGCGTTAGGCCGCCCATGTAACCATTGTTCATCTCCAGTTTCCTTCTGGTCTAGCCCCCCAGCAGATCTGTGAGGGACCTAGAGCTTAAGCACCTGGAATGAAGTCAGATCGGAGTATCTAGTTTGTAATCCTGTCATTCAAGACTTGAGTTACTTTTTCATTACTTAACACGTGGCCCTCAGAGACTGGTATTGATTCTGGGAACATCATGATCTTGAACTTGAAAGGTTTGAGTTGCCGGTTTCCTAGAAACGCTCAGGCCACCTGTGGAACTGATGCTAATCTGTGCTCCGAGAGAGCCTTCCAACAGAACGGAGACTGGCAATCGAGAGCAAATGACAGATGGCCGAGCGGCTGGTTCTTCCAGGGCTGGGGGGAGCCCAGAGGGCTTCCACGCGGATGGGGTAAAGCGCTGTGCAAACTCAGGCCCTGGTCAAAAGTCAGGCACTACCTCACGAAAACCAGATCACCCCTAAGTTTCCAAGGAAACTGTGAAATAAAACCTCGTTCCACAAGTTTCATTCTTAGTCATGCCTAAAATCTCATTTAGCAGTATCATTCAGTATCCATTTACCTACCTTTAAAGCTGCAAAATGAATATGGTAAATTACCTTTAATTCAAGCTTCACTAATTGAGCTCATTTAGATAGAGTTTGAGTGAAAATTTACTTTTGTTTCGTCTCTGCTAAAAAAAAGGAGGGAGAGGGTCATTAAGTTAGTAACTTAAAGAGGAGTAAAAAAGCTGTGTCTAACTACATTCATATGTGTTTTACAGATACATAGAGATACATACTTATTTGCATACAAAT